GTCTTAGGGCAAAGCAATGAGATACTGATCCAGCCATTCATTTTCCAGTGCCTTTGTTTGGAGACCACAAAGGCAGCCAGCAAAATAACAAGAAAATCTGAATGCTGCTGAAGGTTTCCAGGCAAACAGATTCAGGACACTTTCCCTCAGGCTACAAAATAAACAAATGAAGCCAACCTGAGGATAAGTTCTCAAGTGTTTATAGCATTGTTCTGTACTCTGAGTATGATAGGATTTATTTTACAGAAAGGCACCAAACTTTAAAGAAGACATTTTCACTAGCATGCTAGTGGATCTTAGAAAAAGCTTCAGATCAGCCCTAGGCCACCAGGCAGATCAACAGGAGTTAGGTGATTTTGGAAATTTAGCAGGTGAGAGCTCCCAAATAGCTCCACAGCAGCTATATGTAGTACATATGAATTCTTCCTCGATGGATCTTTGATTCTGGAGCCATTAAAACCTTATGAGTCACCCAACAGTTGGCCAAATTCCTTCTGATGTCCAAGCACCCAGGGCTTCCCAGCCACATATGGGGCACTCTGCTCTCACACTTCCTGAACTGTGAAGCTGGCTGTCCTGCTAAATGACTGGCAGTCATGCCACTGGGTAGCCAGCAAGGTCCAGGAGGTCCCCAGATCAGAGCATGACTGATGGGCTGCCCTGCTTTCCTCCTGCTCAGCTCACCAGACTCTCCAGGTTTCTCGATTCGCTTTCCTAGAAATCTACAAAATTTTCCAAATTTCCTCATTCACTGGCTGTTCCTTGCACTCCAGGATACCTGGCTCTCTGGGCTCTTCAGACTCCTTGCCTGGGTTCCTGCCCAGGTTTCTTAGCTAGCTGCCTGGATGACAAAGTACCCGGTCTGCAAAGAAACCTAGGCAGCCAGAAGACGGTCAGACGGCCTAAACCTCAGGTGACTGGAGAGCTGGAGAGCATCAGTATTTTGGTGCTTCCAGTGAAAGATCTGGAATTTCCACCCTTTCTTTTTAAAAGCTAAAGGCTTCAGCCTTCTCTCCTGATTTAAAATAAATTATCATTGCTTCCTTTCCCTCAAAAAAATAATCTCACTTTTTTGTTGCTGGATGAAAATTCCATGTCTTGGCCACCTCCTCTAGCCTGCCAGGGTCTCACTTTACTTTTCTCTGGCATCTTAAGAAAGGAAGAGCTTGGCTCAAAGCTGTGTTTGTCACTAGATGAGAGAAATCCAAGACTAGGCATTCTTTTTTGTCCATTTAATAAGGAGCCATTTCACAACCTGTGCTTAGCATTTTGGACAGAGAAAGCCAGCAGTCTTCTGGTTTCACCCAGGCAGTATAACTGACAGTATAAACAATTCTTCTTTGTCCTGTTTAACTCTTCTCAAATCTTTTCTGGTACAAAGGAACGGTACTGGTAGGGCTTTTTTGTTGTTTGGTTTTTGTTTTTTCTAAAAAGGTATTCTCTTGTCCTTTCTGAAATGGAAATGGCTGGCAGAGCCTAAGTGAAATGACACCAGGCTACCCTACGTATTTATGAAAATCCTGATACCACTGCTTCATAATTACTGACTAATAAATTTCAGACTACTAGTCATTTTAATCATAATAATAATCATGCTATTTCAGGAACAGAGATATTAAAGAAAAATAGCGTTTGCTCTTTTGCCAAGGCATCATTGCTAATGGGTAGGATGCAGCATGAGTGTTTTGCTGAGGTTACATCCATCATTTCAAATGACGGAGCTTCTGACTTAACCTGGGAAAGATTGTCCTGCAACTTGGTGTCCAGAAATCATTGGTATTCAGCGAAAACCACCCTTAGTTTCACTATGTTATACCTCCAAGAGTTCCTACGTGCCACCTCAGGTTGTTCCTCCTGGCCCTTCTGAGCACATTCCATGCACAATAATCCTTTTCAGAATTCCCTTGGCCAAAACACAAGCATGCAGCTGCTTCAGTTTTTCCCAATCCTTGCACTTTCTCCATGTGTTGTCCACCCCCACTACTCTCTAAATTAGAGTCCAGCTGATCTTCCCTGAACACTGTCCAATTTTTCATTGTCAGTGCCAGAATGGAACGCAGTGAGCTTGACTCCCTTATACAACTTATCTGGAAGTAAATCAGAAATGTCTCTTTTCGGTTTAAGCAGAAGAGAGAAAGACCAGTTTTATCATGTATAGCTCCACAGGTATCAAGACAAAAACTATCTCTGTGATTCATAAGAATTTCTTCTTGGAAGTAGCTAGTAGCTCAAAATCCATTCTGAGTTTCTACTTTTTTATTCTAGGTATACACATTTAGTATACCCACTACCTCTAATGGGTTCTTTTTGGTGGCCCTTCTGTCTGCTTTCAGATGTTTTTATTTCATCTTTTAAAAAGGAAAGAGGAGGGCAAAAGAAGAAGTGTAGACAAAAAGGGAAGGCTCCTTAAACTGTTCTAATAACAACAACATAACCCCAGCATCACTCAACAACTAACCAGCCACCCTTTTGGAATATGCTGCCAATCTTCGTCCAAACTGTGCTTGATTAGACTGAATAAACGTGCCCTTTGCAGCTTGCCCAGAAATCATAAAATACAGGTTATTCCAAAATAAGAGAGAAATCATGGCTTTCAGCAGCTTCCTCTTTTCTAAGGGGAGCCGAGACCAAGCACTTCTGATGTCTACAGCCCTAGCAGTAGGACAATGAAAATACGATCTCTGAAGTGCCCGTCTGAGGGTCTCTTTTTTTTAAAGGTAGCAAGCTCTTTCCTGGGCATGCATTTAAATTATCTGTACTTAAACTTTCTAAAACCTTCTACTGTTTCTATGCCTTGATTAATGCTGTTTAGTGGCAATTTTGAATTTCTTCAGAATGTTATTTATTTTTCTTTCTATATTCTTGAAGATACTGATTGATACGTCATCTAAGACTGACTGATCTGTCCGGATCATCAGGCCATAGGAACACTTGCAAGGTTCATCAGCAAAGCAGCGAATCTTTATGGGAAACAACTACATGCCTTCTCTCAACTTGATCCAATATTAATGCACATTATGCTTACTATTCAGGACAGGTCCTACTGGAGTTAGGGTACTAGTCCAGACTAAGGGGTCAACCTGCCATACACAGTGATCTGGATCTGGGTACATAAGGTACCATCTGTAGGATAATTTGACAGATGACATATGCATAGTTCTAGGCAGCAATCCAAGCTCATTTGCCTTCAAGTACATCTTCCCTAGGGACAGACGATTTTAGGAATGACTGCATGAACAAGTGACACCATTGCAAGGGTGGGGGTGTAGATATAGAGAGGTGCCCCGCATTGCAAGTAGGTCAACATGAACGGGTAGCATCATTTCAGGTTTGCTGTTTCAGGTTACCACAGTCTATGATGATGTGTATAGACATAACCCAAGACCATTCACAACAAAGGCTATTTTTGGCCATCTCTCACAATACTGTAAATTTTTCACTTCTCAAGGACTTGAATGGCCAATAAATTAATAGTTTCACAAATTCCAGTTGAAACTTTTCACAGTAAGATGATACTTTTGACTAAATGAAAACTGCTGTGGAAAGCGTCTGTCTCCCTGAAAGGAAAGTTTGTCAGAAATCTAAGAAATGTACACCTCAGCTGTTTTGGTATTGTGTTCTGCTTTTTTCTACTGTGTTGCATTTTCAGCCACATGGGTACAAAGGCATTTTTTGTTAACATTAGCCAACATTTTCCAGCTCCAGCAAGTTACAGTGCTTGCTGCTCTTCCCTGTGCCATGCTGACTTCTCTCCCTCTGCCACAGGGATTTCTTTAACCTCATCTGGATATATGCTCTTCCTTGCTTCTGATGATAGTTTTTTCTTCCTCTTTCCCCCATTGTTATTTAAGATTGCACTTTTATTGCTCAACACACTCCAAGAAGCATTTAGGATAAAGTCTCTGTCAAAGATACTTATGTACAATTGAGCCCTATCATATTCTATATGAATCACTGAGGGCGTTTCACAAATAAGGTTAAATCAGCCAGATTTTCAAACTATATTAAACATAGCTCTTCCAGACATGGTCTACTAGTCCTGCAATTAATCCTCCATATTAAAACTCACCTCACATTCGGATCACGTCATATCTGCCCCACCAGGGACAGAAGCATGCTGCTGACACGCATGCCTAATGAGGATAGCAATCCTATGATGGAGCAATCTCAGCCAATTTTTATCTGCAGAATGCAGGGGAAAGGTTAACTTTGCACAAGCTTGATGGTCTCTCACCTATCCCTTTCTGTTTTATTTTCTACAATATTTTTAAACCTCAGGCAGACAGAGACCTCACCAAAATGGCCAAGAAAGGGAGAAGTCTTGGGGAAGGAGGAAGTCTGTTTTGTCACTTAGGACAATGTTGTGCCATATTTTAGTTAATGCTAAAGAAGATTGCCCAGGTCCTGGTAGTCAATCCTCTTGCCTGCTTTGCTTAATCAAATGGGTGGAGATGCTCAGGGAATATCCTATAGCTTTTTAGCTACCCAGCACATTTTCCAGAATATAAGATGCATCTGGTACCTACAATCTGGTCTTTCAGGTAAAACTAAAATCCTACTTGAGAAAGAGCAGCCTGGCATGGAGAAGCGTGAAGAACGAGGCTGGTGGCACTCTATTACCCTGTAATGCAGAGACAACTATAAACCTCCACAGAGAGGAAACAACCAAACAGCCATGAGAGAGGAAATGACTAGAACAAGATGTTCTTCGAAGACAGAAAGAGACTGTGGTGCTTCTGATCCGATACAGTTAAGCAGCTGTGACACGGATAATGTCCACACGTGCAGAAACGGCCAGTGAAGATCCATGTGTTTCCAAACACACTCTACAGATGCTTTACAGTGCACTTTTTATCTGGAACTTGGATGGGAAAGTGAGGTACCTCACGGCCTCTCCCTCCTCCTCTACTAATACAACATCTTGCTTAGTCACAGAAAGATGAAGAGAAAAAAGAAAAGGAGATAAGAAGTGGCTTAATAATATGTGGGGAGCTGCTTACTTTCCAATTGGTTGTCCAGGAGGGGTGTGCTCCACTTCAAATCCTGCTTGTCTCAGTACATCAATCACAGTGTTGTTACCCAGGAAGTGACCTAAAATACAGGTAGAAAATAGCGCTGTCAATCAAACTGCTCCTCTCACTCATTTGATTTCCTCCTTTTGGAACAACAGGCTTGGGAGACAAGGTTACCAGATCCTAGACTATCTCAAAAAGCAGGAAAGTCACATCATGCAGTTTGTTGAAGTTCAGATTCAACTACTCACAGCTTTGCCCACTGCAGCCTTTGGCAGTGGGCAAGAAAGTACCAGCACACAGCCTAATATGGGCTCCTTTCATCCCATATTTCCCTCCCTCCCATCATGTGGTCAAGGGACTGGATAGATAAAAGAAAGCCTAGATGGGTTTTTTTTTTTTTTTAATAGCACTTGATTGTACAGGATTCTCCAAATTGCTAGGCTAGTCTTCCACCGCAGCAAATGAGCTTCTTACATGGATATTGGAATGACCCTGCAGCAGGGAAAAGATTACTAGGGCTTTGACTCATATATTGGAACAACTTACAGCCCCAGATGTCCACCCTGCCCATCATCATTCACAGACATCTGCTTATGAAGTAACTCTGAAGCGGCTTTATGTGCACCTCAGTGCTTATCTACCTAAAACATCAGCTTACAAACGGCAGTGGTTCAGCAACTGCTTCATCAACCACTCAGCCACCTGCACAGCAAGGTCAGGAGGAGCTGGGATGGTAACCTTATCTCTTCCCAAATGTGAAGATTTAGTCCTGTAAATCAGGGCACTTTGCTAGAAGTGTAAAGGTCGCATTCCTATTCACAGAAGTAACAAAGAGCCCAATAAGTATTGTAGCATGTATGGGCCTTGAACGAGTTTACTTAAGGGAATCCTATACACTTGAGGTCTGAAGCAAATCCTGCTGGAGTCAATGAGAATCCTCAAGGGGCTTTGGATACAGACTCAATAAAGCAGTGTAATCCCTCCAAAGCTTTTAACTTATTGTCCGAGTCGCACATTGTTTTCAGGGTAAGTTAGAGACATAAAGTAAGAACACAGGAACTCCAATACTAGGTCAGATCAAGGGTCCACACGGCCCAGTAACCTGCCTCCAAGTGTGGCGCACAGTGAATGCTAAATGTATATAAACACATATATGAACGAAACTGGGAAAGGACAAAATGATCCCCCCCCACTACGTCCTCTTAGCCTCTAGCTCCGAACAGCTGGATGACCCCCATTTACATCCAGGTCATCATGTCTAACTGTCAGCTCTGAGTAGATCAGTTCACCGTGAATGTGCTTAATTCTCTGCCTCCATGTACTTTTTGCCTCTGTAGCATCTTATAGCAGAGAGTTTCACTGCATGCCATGTGTAAAAATATGTTCCTTTAATTTGCTTCAAACCTGCTGCTTGGAGAATGTATGCCTGAGAGAAGTGCAGTGAAAGTGCTTGCAAGAGATGCCCGTAACTGCCTGGCTTCACAGCAGAACCAAATGCCACACAATAGCAGTACCAAGTGCTTTTTGTAGAAAAAAACAAGGCCAGCAGGACATGACTGAGCCTCTCTCTATTCACACCATTACATAAGGAAGCCGGTGTAACTATGAGCAGAATCAACTCTGTGACACTTCACCCATACTGCACAAAGACAGTTTGAGGGTAATTCAGTCTCCGGTTTTCCCTAAGCCTGGGTCTTTTTGCTTACATTGCCAACAAGGGCGCTAATTCATATCAGTTGTGAGAATGATGTAGTTGTATGGCTTTTACTGTAACTTGCAAGCACTAGTAAGAGCTTTTAGCCAAAAGACATTTCTTTAAATGATTAAACGTACATTTGCAAGGCCCTAACGTTTTCCAGGATTCCTCTACTTCCTTTTAAGAAAAATCAAAATTTGATTTTCCCCTGACTAACTTGCTTATAACAAAAGCCAAAGGAGCAGAGAGCAGTCCCAAAAATGTGTTACACACACTCAGAGATTCAAGCAACGAGACATTTGTGAGTGATTAACTGGATTTGATCATATCCTGGTTTTTAATGTAGTGGCCAAGGCAAATAAAGGCCCTGATTCTGTCATTGGCAAAGTGACATCGTGGAGTCAAGGTCAAAGGTGTCAAGGTCAAAGGTGTTTCTGTGTCAATATTTCAATGGTCTAGGCTCTCTTAACTGGAGTCTTAAACGCCAAGAGATTTCTTAATGGAAATAATTGTCCTGAATCCAGCAAGTCTTTGACATCATGACAGTAAAAAAGAATCCAATTTTAAGTGCTTTAAACCCAGAAAAAAGTAACCAAGCAACAGCTCTGAATTCTCATCCACAAAATGAACAGACTGTCAGCAATGTCAGCATCTCAGCAGAGCCCTGAGAATCCCTCCCAAGTGATGGACGAAGACCAAAAGGTGATATCCTTCTGGCCTTCAAAGCTATTAACTTGTTGGCTTGGTGATCTTCTGCTGTGCATGACTGCAGAGCAAAATATGGACAGTCTAGTGTGTTTTCCATTCCTTTTCTGGATGCACAGAGAACTTTGTTTTCTACCTTACAGCAAACCCAAAACATCAAATCCAAAACATTTCAGAACTGGCATAGGTATATGTTAATGATACTAATATCTATCATGTGGACACCTGCCCAAAAAGAGATTTCTTGATATAGAGTCATTGGTTTCAAATGCACTTCCTTACTGACCTGGAACGGAGAAGAAACCACAAGTGTAAATGTGGCAAGATATGTGTTTTCACACGGTAAGCTATCCTGAGACGTTCAGTCCTCTGTCATACCATTCACTTGTTGTCCAAATATGTGGGACTTTGTGTTGAAATTGAACTGAAATTATGGGGGAAAGAAGGAAGTTCCTGCT